CAATTATCAAGGCAGACAATCTCCTTGGCAAGTTTCTATAAATGTCATCATCTCAGGAACTTTCATGCCCTAGTTTAGACAAACACAAAAGAAAAACAAGGACTTCACAGAGAGGAGCTTCATGGAGGGTCATTGGGGAGGTGACTTCAACAGCACAGCTGAAACCTAAGGATTATCAACAGTGATCCAAGAAGATCAGTAAAAAAGGAAATAAATAAGCTCTGGTGTCTTAACATGGGAAACGTAAAAAGGGGATTTGCTTTGCCAATGCTTGATATATAAACTTTGGTTTACACAGAGTCACTGGATGTTTATTTCAAATGGATATCTCTGCACTCTGCAGAAGTTCCAGGAGGGTGATATTGAGTATGAGACCTTGGGGGCAGTAATTTCCCTAAATGCCGCCAGTGACTCTGATGCAGGAAACCCTTTATACCACTTTTTGGAAACTCCATTTTGCACCAGAACTTGTTCATCCTACTATTTTGTATTAGGCACTTTGTAAAGCTTTTCCATAGCCCAAATCCCTGTCCCTATTCTAGAAATTCACTTTCCAAGACAAATAATACAATGGGCACTATACACAGACAAGCACGGACATGTTCATTATGTATTCCATGCTTACATCACGCACTGGCAAGTTACTACAAAGTATAAAGCAAGTTAAAAGAAGTAGTTACATTATTGCAAGTGACACTGTAGTACACCCAGGCCTAAATTATGTTTATTAAGTTAGCATTCCATAAAATGTTCAATCCATAATGTAACGCTATTTTTGACCCCATGACCCAGAAACAAAATGTAAACTATGAACTCAGTTCTCCAGGGCAATAATAATTTAGGATTACAGAGAAACCCAGCAATGACAGATATGGTGGGAATAAATTTGAAAAAGGAAGTTCACATGATCTTGCTTGGGGAACTTCTTTTATCTCAGGAAACTATTTTGGGTCCTGAGAATGCTGCTAGATGGTTGAATGCTTGTCTTTACTTTAACAAGCAAACGCCAGACCCTCCACATGACAGGTAATCCCAAGTGGACGGACAGTTTTAGTTTGGACTAATTATCTGGTAACAGGGGAGAAGCTCAGAAATCACTAAGCTCTACCTTCTTCTGGGAGATGGAACTTATGAAGCAAGACTCTAGATGATAAAGCAATTTACTCCTTCCATGACTTTTGTTAGAAAGGTTACATAAAGGCTCAGTCCCACAGGGGAGTCTCTGTAGGGTCATGACCCTCCTTTCTTTATCTACCAGAGCCATCAGACATTACCCGCTAGGTCCTGTTTTTTATGAACCTGAGGAGGCTGGCTCAGTAGATCCCTCTCCTTTCTCATGTTGGAGGTAAGAAAAGGTCTTTTTCTACCTCCTTCGAGATTTGCAACATTCTAGCACCTGCTGACATTGAGTTAGAAAAGTGAGTAGTGGCTTTACAGATAAGAACTCCAGGATTTCAGAACTAACTCAGCCCATTACTTACGGTGTTTCTCCTAAATTCCTTGAAGCCCAGTTATTCTGAGTAAAACGGTAATCACCAAGCTCTGTCTAAGAAATGTTGAGGTACCGAATAAAGATAATTTTGAATAAAGTTTAAGGGTTAATAAAAAATATTTTCCTCATATGGCACCTCATTTAATCTTCCGCTATGAAGAAGATATTATAAGATACATATTATAGATACAAAGGGGGGAGGAAAATTAACCCTTATTATGCAGGCAAGTAGGTTTCATACATCAAACCAAGTGTGCTAAAACTTTATCTCACTTAATTTTATCACAGCCCCATTATGTAATAAGTATTGCTATTCACATCCTTTAAACAAGAAGAAACAGAAATTAATATGAGATGATCTGACCAGGGGATTTTGCTATTCATAACAGACTGAGAATCTAGCTCAGGTTTGTTGAATGCCAAATCCACTAAACTCCTTTATTACATGATACTTACTAGATAGCTATAGAGCTGTTCTAGTCTAGACTATCTGGATCTCCAGAACAAACAGAGATAATGTTTCTCAGGGCATTCTTTCCAACAAGGCTATATGGAGAGATGAAAAGGAAGGTGAAGAGGATGATGCAAGTTGGACCTGGATACACTGAGATCTGGAGAGATTTCTGGGGAAGCTGCTGAGTGCCTTATCATGCCTGTGCCCTATGTGACATATTATGTAACAACTTGGAATAGCAAGTTAATTATATGTTGATATGATGATTGTTACTATCTTGGAACCATGAACTCCATTATTTTAATTGTCTAGATCTTTTTAATGTAACCATTTTTGTGATCTGTCCTGTGCAACACAACTTTAAAACAGACCTTTAAAAAGAACATGTACAGCCGGGCTCGGTGGCTCAGCCTGTAATCCTGTACCTTGGGAGGCTGAAGTGAGTGGATTGCCTGAGCCCGCGGGTTCGAGACCCACCTGGGCAACTTGGCGAGACCTCATCTCTACAATAAATCAAAAATTAGCTGGACATGGTAGCGCGCACCTGTAGTTCCAGCTACTTTGAAGGCTGAGGCAGAAGGATCGCTGGAGCCCAGCAGGTCGAGGCTGTGGTGGCCGGGAGCGGCCACTGCACTCCAGTCTGGGCGACAGAGTGAGACTCCAACTCAATAATAATAATAATAAAAAGAACATGTACAGATCTTAAATTATGAGACATGTCAAAACTATGTCATGTGAAATATAGTAAAAGGAATTAGGGGAAAAGGGCTACAAGACAGCAGCGGTTCAGTAAGTGAAGTGTTTATTGTAGAAATGACCACATTGTTCAGAAGAGAAGAATTATGTAGAAGGTGCACAGAGGTAGGTTTCAGCTGATCACAAAAATAACTCTCAGAGAATCAACTCTTGTAATAATGAAGCAAGCAAGCCAAGAGGTAATGGGATTCCCTGGGCACTGAAGGTGACTTGACGTTCTGATACTGTATTGGAGATTCAAATATCTAATAGAGGTCTGGACTAGGCAATTTCTGAGCTCCCTTCCTGCACTAAGAATTAATGACCTGTGATATCTGGTGTAAATATTTCATTACAAATGGCTGGAGAGCAACATTAAGAGATAAATATTTGACATGATGAATATGCTAATTGTCCTGACTTGATCATTCCAAACTGTATACATGTATTAAAACATCACATTGTGCCCCATAAATATATATAATTATTATTGAAATTAAAGGCAAAAGTTTTTAAAAGAGATAATATGGGTAAGAAACGAAGATTCTCAGAAGTCATCATTATGGCATGAATTTCAAAGCCCACCATTTCATAATATAGGTGATAGAGTAGTTTTTAAATATCTGTTTGTTGTAAGCTGTGTTCTTTTGTGATAGGTTTTATCTACAGTGCAGGGCTGGATGCAGTGGCTCACATCTGCAATTCTAGCATTTTGGCAGGCCAATGCAGGAGGATTGCTTGAGGCCAGGAGTTCAAGACTAACCTGGGCAACATAGCAAGGCCTTGTCTCTAAAAATATTGAAAAGTTAGCTGGGCGTGATGGTGCATGCTTTTTAGTCCCAGCTAGTCAGGAGGCTGAGGCAGGAGAATCACTTGAGCCCAGAAGGTTAAGAATGTAGTGAGCCATGGTCATGCCACTGCACTCCAGTTTGGGCAACAAAGTGAGACCCTGGTTCAGAGAAAAAATAAAAAATTCTGTTCCTACAGGGCAGTTCAGATGTTGGATATGAAGCTGTTTCCCACAAGGGCTCCTAAACAGTGATTTGATTACAAAATATGGGGGGAGGGAGTATAAGCTACCTGTTTTTCACAATATATTTATTCATTCAACATGTAATTATTGAGTTTTTTACAATCTGTGCAACATTAGGCTTGGTGATATGGGCAGATAAAAATATAAAGAGATGGCTGCCCTTGAACTTACAAATAAAGATTATTATCTTTTATTAGGCTGCTGTTACTAGAAACTAGTCATTGTGATGTTTTCCATTACTATCTCAATCACACTCACAACAGCCCTTTAAACTAAGTATAATTATCATTCCCATTTTTCAAATACAGAAACTGAGGCTCAGATACATTATGTATTACCTTGCATCATGGAATCAGGAGATGGAATTATTCAAACCACATCATTTAACCTCACAGCTGATTTCACACTGATAACATTGCACTCCTTTACATATTATAATAAATGTGGAATATGCAAAGTGGCATTAGAAATAATTCAAAGCATTATTGAATTTTAGATGAGGAAATGAACATAGCTGAAATAGATACCACATCTTAGCTTTCAAAAAAACAACAGAGAGTCATTCATGCCCTGGGTGTTCTTAATATTTGTAGCCACCTCTGGTCACATTTGCCCCCATGCTTGTGACACTGAGGTGGGTTTATGTGAATGATTTTTGGTAGAAGTGGTGTTTTGGGATAAAGATTTATCTTCAAACTCATATTGATTAGCAGGAACTATAATAATTTGGCAAGTTGAAAGAAGGTCACATATTCCCTCTTTTTTACCTTCTTGAATATTAGTTGGTCCAGGAAAATAAGTGAAATGAATACCCTTTGCAAGTTATGTATGTTTATTAAAAGGTTTTGTGAAAACCATACGTCTTCTCTCAGATTTTACATTAGCTTCTTAGAGATATGACAAAAATAGACTGGCTGAGTCTTTCTCATTCTTCCCCAAACTCACAGAAAGAGTTTTTACATTTCCAACAGCTTTTGATCACATATTTTTCTATACCTCCACAAACCAGGAATAAACAGGAAACACCTTGTTTCCTTTGAGTCTTATACCATTTCTGACTGGATAATGCTAGAAAACTAACAGGAGGGAGGATTTTATTTTTTGAAGTTTATTCCTGACACTGTCAAACTCAACCCTATGTCAGCCCTTTGCCCATAGACAACTTTTTCTTCATTTTACATTATATCACCAGTTTCTGAGTGCTACATTCAATATCGTTGACACAATGCCTTGGGAGACATATGAATGAAATAATAAATTGAATGAATGAATGGTTTCCCTCCCTTACCTGAATGACTCCTAGCCCTGTTAATTCCTTGCCACTTTCTTGTGAATTTACAGAAAGAATTTAATTTTCATTCCTCTCCTTCTGAAAATAGCTCTTGAGTTGCACCCACTTCCTCTGCCACTTTTCTTCAATAGTTCCTTACATAATTTGGCCCAACTCTTGGCAGTTAGAAAGTGAGGTACAGATATTTATGTGGAGAAACTTGGCAAAAGTGAAGACAAATAAAAAGAACTACTCCTGATCCTTCTTGTTTCTAACTTTGGCTCTAATTAGATTAGATTCATGGCTCAGGGTAAACCAATGTATCATCAGTCTGATTCTTCCTTCTGTTTTTGTAACTCTGGACAGATAAGTGTTGTTAGCTCAATGACCCGGGAAAATCACTCTGTGTTGATGGAATTTGTGTTCCTGGCCTATCCCTCCTGCTCAGAGCTGCGTATCTTGTCCTTCCTTGGGGTCAGCCTTGCTTATGCCTTGATCATCACTGGGAACTTCCTCATTATGGTGTCCATCCACACAGAAGCCCGTCTACACACACCCATGTACTATTTCCTGGGCAGTCTCTCGGGGGTAGAAATATGCTACACTGCTGTGGTGGTGCCTCACATCCTGGCCAACACTCTGCAGCCCGAGAAGACCATCACTCTCCTGGGCTGTGCCACTCAGATGGTTTTCTTCATCGGGCTGGGGAGTGCTGATTGCTTCCTCTTGGCTGCCATGGCCTATGACCGGTATGCCGCCATTTGCCACCCCTTGCATTACCCTCTCATGATGACATTGACTCTTTGTGTCCGCTTGGTTGTGGGGTCAGTGGTCACCGGCTTGTTCCTGTCCTTACAACTGGTGGCCTTCGTCTTCTCTTTGCCATTCTGCCGGGCTCGGGGTATTGAGCACTTCTTTTGCGATGTGCCACCAGTCATGCGTCTTGTTTGTGCCCACAGCCACGTGCACGAGCAGTCAGTGCTGGTGGCCGCCACACTGGCCATTGCTGTGCCTTTCTTCCTCATCTCCGCCTCCTACGCCTCCATAGCGGCTGCTGTGCTCAAGACCCGCTCGGCAGCTGGCCGCAGCCGGGCCTTCTCCACCTGCTCCTCCCATCTCACTGTGGTACTGCTGCAGTATGGCTGCTGCGCCTTCGTGTACCTGCGCCCCAACTCCGGCTACCACCCCAAGCAAGATCAGTTCCTCTCGCTGGTGTACACACTGGGAACCCCCCTGCTCAACCCCCTCATCTACACCCTGAGGAACAATGAAATAAAAGGGGCCATCGGGAGAGTTCTTACCAAAAATTCCCTCTCCCGGAACAGCTAGGATAGGAGAGGGTCTGACCTACCGAGCAAAGATTTGTTTGCACCCCAGGCAAATCCCTGTGCAATTGGGATTTCTCTAAGTTGATGTTAAAAGCTCTGAAAGACTGTATAAGTTCTTTGGCTACTGTTTATCTATGTGTACCAAAGACTTCAAAGCATCTCTACTATTTGATTCAGTAATTTTTCGTCAAGGAATGAAATATACAAGCAAATGAACATGAAAGAATATAAAATGACACGTATAAGACTGTATCCAGTTATCAACTGGAAACAGATGACTCATACAATAAATTTTAACTGAAAAAAATGTAATAAAGGGATTATTGGCAGAGTTGTGGCCAAGGGAACCAACAAGACATAGCAGCACACTTACGTACTAGCAGTAGCAGGAAGCCGTTATCACTCCAAATCTAAAAAGCAAAAGAAGGGTGCAGTATTATCAGAGACCATGAGAATTAGATCTAAGGAGAAAAACCACATGGTAGAAACTTTAGAAATCAAAAGCTGCTATTGATAAAAGTACAGCCGTGCAAAGAGAGAACAGGGGGGTAGACACCTCAACCTTTCTCTTCTCAAAACTTTTCATCTCTTGCCCTACTCTCATTGGTCAAACCCAACTGGCAGCAAGAAGGCAGGGGTACCTGAGTGATTCACCTCACAGAAGGCAGTCTCTTGCAGCACACGGAAGGGCAAAGACCTTGAGAATTAGTGGAAACATAATAATCAGAACAAATGTTTGTTATAGACTTCCACCCCACATCTTTAAAATAAAATTTTTTAAAATTATATGTAAAAATGAAAATAAATTTATAATCCAATTTATATATAATAAAGCATTGGTTACACAATTATTGTATAAGGAAATGTTAATCAGTCTCAAATGTGTGTTTTCAAATACTAGTTATTTGTAATAGCTAGCATTAATTAAGTGCTTACTGTGTGCCAGAAATATATATATATACATATATATATATATATTCTATCAATCTTCAAAAAGCCTATGAAGTAGGACTGTTTTCTCTCTTTTTTAATATGCATGCAAATGGGCACACACTCAGAGAATAGATTCAGATGGTGAAGCCAATGCAGTAGTTCCCACTTACCCACAGTTTCCGTTAACTGCTGTCAATGCGATCCAAAATGTTCAATGAAAAGTTCCAGAAATGAACAATTCCTAAGTTTTGAATGGTGTATTGTTCTGAGTAGAGTCTTGAACTCTCACACCATCCTGCTATGTCCCACCTAGGAAGTGAAGTATCCCTTTATCCAGCGCCTCCTCACTCACTGTATATACTACGCACATGACAATGTATGTAGGATTCAGTACGATTCACAGTCAGACATTTACTGGGTGGTCTTGGAATGTATCCCTCTCAAATAAGAAGGCCTGTATTATATCTGCAGATAACTAGGGATCAGGAAATCAGTCCTGGGGAACATAATTGGGCTGTAATAAAGGAACATTCTCTGTAGCCAGGATAGAGGATGTTGGCCATGTACCAAACTGGACTCAAAATTACTGTGGACTAGTGCCTCCTACTCCTCCCTCTTTTGAATGAAACGGTCTATTATGATCTAAATAGAGAGCTGATGCTAATTACAAGATCCTAGATTTTGAGCCTGGATTACAATTTTTGTCACTGAGATTTGTTCTGTAGTACAGCATGTGTTTTGTTGTGATGTCCTATGTGACTCTGATAAGAATGTGTATCCTGTGAGTGTTGATAGAAGTCAGTTAAGTTAACTAGTAGTATCACTCTAATCTTCAATAGCTATACGTATTTTTGTCTGCTTGGGCAATTACTGATGAATTTGGTTGAAATCTACAACTATGACTGTGATTTGTCAGTCTCTCCTTTTAGCTCTAACAATTTTTGTTTTCTGTGTCTTGAAGTTCTATTATTTGATGTAAGTGTGTGTGCAATTGTATATCTTCTAATAAATTAATCATTGTATCAATAAGCAATGCTCTTTTTAATTGCTGGGAATCTCCCTGATCCAGAATTCTACCTTGTCTGATCTGAATATCTACATTGCCTTTTCCATGAATGTGTTCTCATAATACTTATTGTTCTTCCCTTTGCTGTCTCCCTGCTTTCTTACATATAAGATGTGCCCCTTTAAAGAGCATAAAATTCATAATTTTTCTTTTTAATCAGGTCTGACTGGAGTGTATATATACCATCTTTCCATGTGTTTTTTAATTCATCTTCTCTCTTTTTCTTTGTTTTTCATCTGGCCTCTTCTGGATTAGAGAGCATTTTTTTTACCTTCTTTTTTTTTTTTTTTTTTTGAGTTGGAGTCTCACTCTGTCGCCCAGATTTGGAGTGCAGTGGCTGCTCCCAGCCACCGCAGCTTCGACCTGCTGGGCTCCGGCGATCCTTCCGCCTCAGCCTTCCAAGTAGCCGGAATTACAGGCATGCGCTACCACGCCCGGCTGATTTTTTGATTTATTGTAGAGATGAGGTCTCGCTGCCCAGGCGGGTGTCGAACCCGCGGGCTCAGGCAATCCATTCACCTCAGCCTCCCAAAGGCGCGGGATTACAGGCTGAGTCACCGAGTCCGGCTTTTTTTTACCTTCTTTATTGGCTTTTTAACTGTATCTTTTAAATTTTGTTTTGTGGTTGCACTCTTACCACAGCCTATCATGAATTATTTATTATAATACCACCGCAGTAAATATGTAGAAAACTTTTAAAACTATAATTCCATTTATTGCCCTCCTATAATTGTGCTTTTAATGTAATATATTTTATTTATAAATTTTATCATAGATTAATATTTTTGATTTAAAATATCAGGAGTTCAACAGAAATTATAAAATAATCTTTTATATTTTATCATAATTTTAAGAAGAATAATTTTACAGGTTATAGCTGTTTTTTTAATTTTAACTTTTATTTTTGGAGTTGGAATCTCACTCTCTCTCTCAGGCTGGAGTACATTCGCACAATCACGGCTACTGCAGCCTCAATCTTCTGGGCTCAGTTGATCCTTCTGCCTCAGATTTCCAAGTAGCTGAGACTACAAGCACGTGTCACGATGCCCTGCAATTTTTTTTATTTATTTGACAAACGAGGAGATGAGGTTTCACCAAGTTGCCCAGGCTGGTCTTGAACCTCTGAGCCCAGACAATATTCTTGCCTGAGTTCCCCAAAGTACTGGGATTACAGGCATAGCACACTGCTTCCAGCCTCACTTTTTCTTTAATCTTTTTACAGATGTTATTCCATTGTCTTCTGGTTTCCATGGTTCCTGATTTTTTTTTTTAATTTTTTTTAGTCGGAGTCTCACTCTGTCACCCAGACTGGAGTGTAGTGACGGCTCCCGGCTACCGCAACCTCGACCTGCTGGGCTCCGGCGATCCTTCCACCTCAACCTTCCAAGTAGCTGGAACTACAGGCATGCGCTACCACCCCTGGCTAATTTTTTTGATTTATTGTAGAGATGAGGTCTCGCCAAGTTGCCCAGGCAGGTCTCGAACCCGCGGGCTCAGGCAATCCACTCACCTCGGCCTCCCAAAGCATGGGATTACAGGCTGAGCCACCGAGCCCAGCCGATTCCTGATTTTTAAAAATCACTTATCTTCTTGTTTTTTTTCCCACATTAATATAAAATATTTTCTTCTTATTTTTGGCTTCTGGCTATATTAATATGATAAACCTAAAGAGAGAGAGGTTATTGTGTTTAGTAACACATCCCAAATGCAAAATACATTCACTTTATCCCAACACCCCCAAAAGTCTCAACTCATTACAAATTCAGAATCTCATATAAATATCACCAGATCAAACATCCCAAATTTATCATCTAAATCATTTAAATCAAGGTCTAAATGAAACCCTGTTTATAAACTATTCTGAGGCAAAATTGTTTTCCACCTGTGGACCGAAAAACTAGAAAATAAGGCATCCCCTCCCAAAATACAATGGAGGGACATGATAATGGTTTCAGACATCTCCACTACAAAAGAGAGAAAATGGAGAAAAAGGAGTTATTGGTCCCAAGTAATTTTGAAGTCAAACAAGACAAACTCCATTTGTTTTTCAGAACTGGGAATAATCCTCTGAAGCTCATGTTTTTATCCTCTGAATCAACAACTCTGCCTTCTGAAATCCCCAAGATTCCAAGGAGCCACTCTAGAGGTTAATAGCTCTGCCTCCAGCATCATACTTTATGTTTTTGTAGGTTTTTTTGTTTGTTTTTGTTTTTATGAAAGATAGCGTATATTTTCAACTAAGTAGCTTTATCAGCCTATTCCCTGCTTGTAGAATTTTGGGAATCTGATGACTTTCTTTTATTTCTTCTTTTCTCTGCTCCTTTTAGACTACAATATCAAGATTTCTTCTGATATTTTCTCACAAAAATATTATGGGTTGTCCATATATGTCATGGAATTTACTCCATCAAACAAGAGGGTTCACCACATATATTTTCTTTAAAAGTCTTATCTCTGTTCCTGGTTTCTGCTGAGATGGTTGAGGGAATCCAAGAGTCAAAACCCTAGTGTTTTCAAAGCACTCTCTATGTAAATGAATATTCTGATCATTTAATCCCTTCAAAGAACTAGTAAAAGATTGTCAAGCCACATCCTTGGATTTCTCTCCAGAGTATACTTTCTTGACAGCACATCTCCTAATTTTAGCATCTTTTGCAGTCTAAAGAGGCTGAGGATTTTTCAAATTACTAAGCCTTGGTTCCCTAGGACTTAATCGTTTTTACCAGTGCCTAAAACACAGCAGTCCTAGGAAAACCAAGATGGTTGGTCACCCTATCTCACCACATGATGTAGCTCTTTGGCATCCCAAGTTAATATTGGAGAATGACATGTTAGACCCCTACTTTTCTCAACACTGGGCTTTTGCTTACACCTTCCTGTCTCATGTTGCCCTCTAACCAAACTTTATTTTCTGGGAAAAATAAAAATGTCTTTGCATGCTTATTTACCTTACTAGATTCCTGTTTTTTAATACCCTGGTAATAGTTTGATATTTTGCCATCTTTTCAGGGTTTTTAAGAAGATGATCCTTATGTCTTTTTAAATATTCTCTGCCATCTACCATTGTGAGTAGTATTTAATTTCCTAGTTATTATTTTCAACTTTTGATTTTTTTATTTTAAAAATGTGGGGTACAATTCATGATT